GCTTCTCCCCCTGCCTGTGTCTCTGCCTCTCTGCCTCTCTCTCTCTCTCTCTCTCTGTGTGTGTGTGTGTGTGTGTGTGTGTGTCTAATAAATAAATAAATAAAATCTTTGAAAAATAAAAAATAAAAGGTATGGTTCATCTTTTATAGCAATAAGAGGAATGAATTCTACAGCGAATTGTGACACCACTTCACGCACTGTTAGCAAACCATTTAAAGACTGTAACGCCCAACAAGTGTAACCTTCCTCCTGAAGATTTATTGTAGGTAAAAACACTATGTAGAAAACTGAAAAATGTTCATAATCTATAAAGAGGATAAAGAAGAATGTAATTTTTACCTGTATGTTCAGCTGAGACTATTTAAAGCATATGCTAACATCCAGGGTGGGCTGAACTCTGCCAAGGGAGAGAGGGGATCTGTTCTGACAGTGGCTCCCTCCAGTTTACAGAGTCAAGGCCAGGACAGGTGCTGCCACTGCCAGGAGCACAGGGGCCTCCCAGACTCTTGTTAAGGGCAGGGCTGCAGCCAGGGTAACATCGCCTCAGGGAGGTGTGCCTAGGCACACAGAAGTGCCGGCTCACGACAGAAAATTCAAGGCCAATGTCCTCATGTATCCGTTCTGTACACACAGATAGTATCTAGAAGATAAACTTCTAGATTAGGACAAAAGGTATGTGCATTTTAAAAGCTGATACACACTCCTCAACTGCCCTCTAAAAAGGTGATACCCCACTGACACCCCCATCTCCTCCCACATCACAGCTGCAACCCCCCTCCCACCAGCTAGATTCCAAGCCCCAATGTTTTAATTCCTGTCCTGCACATGCCCTTACTTCCCTTGCCCCTCAGTTCCTCCAGTGGACTCACTTAGCAAAAAGTACAGCGTTGGGGCACCTGAGTGGCTCAGTTGGTTAAGCATCTGCCTTCAGTTCGGGTCATGATCCCAGAATCCTGGGATAGAGCCTCGGATTGGGCTCCCTGCTCAGCAGGGAGTCTGCTTCTCCTTCTGCTGTTCCCTCTGCTTGTGCTCTCACTCTTGCTTTCAAATAAATGGATAAAAGCTAAAAAAAAAAAAGTACAGCTTTTATTAAACCCAACTCTTCAACTACTTGAATCCCAGTGCCCAAACAGCTGAACTTACGACCATAAATATCCAGTGACACTGAAAACTGCCTAGACAGTAACCACAACCCCCTAATTAGTGGACTGTCCTAGCCTCCAAGATGCCTATTCTACTCTTTTTCCAATTTTCCCAGATCTCCAACATTCCTCCCTCCCATTCCGGCTCATTCTCAATTAATAACCTCCCTAAAAAAATAGAAACCATCAAAGAGAATTATCTCTACTTCCCAGGACAAACGTAGCAACCAACCTTCATCTACATTTATATTTTCTGCCTTCTTTCCAATGACAGTGGATACACCGGGTGCCCTGTGCTGCTACTTGTTCATTCCATCCTGTGCTCTCTTGCCAACCACGTGCTCTCACAATTATCCCTTCTGACGATTCCCAAACCAGTATCTCCATTCTGACCTCCTACCTCACACATCCAAGAGCTGACCTGCTACCACCACCTGAGTGACTAGTAAGTATCTCACACCTGCCACATCCAAAACAGGATTCTCAACTCTCTACCCTGCCCCCATCTTCCTCAACTCAATAAATGACACCAACAGTACAGCCTATACCTCAAGCCAGAACCTTGGTATCATCCTTGACTCTGCTCTTCCCTCATATCCAATCTAACGGCAAGTCAGGATCGTTCTCTCTTCAAAATATATGAGGAACCCAACATTTCTCTCCATTCCACTGCTACCTCCATAATCCCCCATCACCTCTTACCTAGCCTGCCACATGGCATCCTAGATAGTCTGCCTATTTCCCCTCTGACCCTCCTATTGATCAGCCTGGCTGACCAGCGAGGGCAATCTTTTTAGAACATAACTAAATCATGGCACTTCTATGCTTGAAATCCCAACAGCTTTCTTACACAGAATAAAATCTAAACTTTTCACCATACAGGCAAGGCTCCAGGGCTCTGGCCTCTCCCTCTCCTCAGCCCCATCTCCTACCAGTCTCTCCTTTCTGTTCACTCCAGAACACAGGCCTTTTGGCTCTTCCTCCGTCAGGCCAAGATCATTCCTGCTTCAGGAATTTTATGCCTGCTTTTCTCTCCTTCAAGAATATTCTTCCTTTGGGTCTTCATGTGCTGAGCTCCTTCACATGATTCAGGCCTCGGAGGTTCCCTCCCTGAACAGGGCCTGTCAGACCACCCCATCTTAAGCAGTGTGCACACCCCTCCATCAGCCTCCATTCCAGTATCCTACTTTGGTCTTCTCTGTGGCACTTATCTCTACCTGAAATTATATCATCTACTCATTTGCTTATTTGCATATTGTCTATCTTCTCCATTAGAACAGGAGCTACCTGGGGATCCCTGGGTGGCTCAGCAGTTTGGCACCTGCCTTTGGTCCAGGGTGCGATCCTGGAGTTCTGGGATCAAGTCCCGTGTTGGGCTCCCGGCATGGAGCCTGCTTTTCCCTCTGCCTCTGCCACCCCCCCCATGTCTATCATGAATAAATAAATAAAATATTTTAAAAAAAAACAAAAACAAAAAACAGGCGCTACCTGAGCTTAGAATTGTGCCTGCCAGAAAGAGGATCTTAATAAATATGTGTTGAGTTCATAAATACTACATGTACAAAAAAAAAAAAAGCTGATTTTTAAGACTGTAACTGCATGAACAACTGATACATTGTGAATAAACTCTACTGCTGGAGAAAGACTAGAAAAAAAATGAACACTAGATGAAAGAAGTTGCAATAGTAATTGTTCTTAATTTATAACATCCTATTTCAGCATTTCCTCTGTTTTATAATAAAAAACAGTATCTTTTCTGCCCTAAACAAGAGGTTAGTGAGACTCTATCAGTGCGAGAGAATCATGACTCTAAACATAGGCTGTGAAACAGAGAAGGGCAACTCCTGACAGCCCGGAGCCAACCTGGCACTCCCATGGAGGTCTGGGATTAAACTTGAACATCAATACCAGATAAGGCCACTCCATGACCAGGATGGATTCAAACAAAAACACGATCACACTGCAAGGTTACGTGAACACAGAGAAAACATGAACATCGTCCACAATACAAAGTACCGAACACTCCCTCTCCCAGCTAGTGAGTACTGCTTCTTTGCCCATTTCAGCTTTAACCCACTGCAGTCTACTCTCCTTACTGGGAAGAGGTATTAAAATACTGAATCAGAGAACTGCCCATTTTCTAACAGCATCCAATCCAGACCAAACTATCCTTCCAGCACCATCTTCCTGAGAGGCCCCACAGCTCCCTGTGGTGTGCATTCTCCCTCACGGAAACAAGTACCACCGTGCTCAACTAAGCCCAGATGGGCCCTGGCGGTCCTGGCTGGTGGGCATCGACAGGTCTCATGACATCAGATGCAATTATAGGCCACTGTACATGCAGAAGTCGTAAGAGACCTGGCTGGAAAACTGACCCCAAGATATAATCTCAGCGCTGGTTCTCTGAATACATTCCCTGACATTGGCTGATTTTGTTATCTGCCTCCTTCTCCTAAAAGCTGAGTGAAAGAAATTTTTTTTAAAAAGTCAAATTAATAAAATGTCCTGATGAATACTGTTACAATTAATCAAGGATGCCCTACACAGCTTCCTTACCCTCCCATTTCTGAAAGCCACCCCAAGCACAGGGTTAGGGTGGGCTGGACAACTGACTCTTGGGCAGAGCCTGAGGCAACACCACTCAAGTACTTTAAGCCACATGTTCAAGCCTAATAAATTAGCCCAGGCTTAAAGAAGTCAGGCTGTACGCATGTAAGAATTTTAATAAGCCTGGAAAATGCTACCTAGAGCTTACACACGAGCTTACTGTACCAATGGGATTCCCTGCCACCAGCCACGGAGTGCTAAGCCCCTGACAAGAGCTGTCGAGTACATGGGGCAGCAGGGACATGGAATCGGCTTGGTCCAGGTCTCCTCAGGAGTTGGGAGACTCAAAGCAGAAGGCTGGCAGCCAGATGGATGGAGAGCAGAATAGGGCATGCAGCTCAGTGGAGCCAACGGCATTTACTAGGAAAACATGTTGAAGGTTTCTTTGGTGGAAACCTGGTCCTCACACACCCTTCCAGAAACCAGCAAACACTGTAATCAATGTCTGCATTTATCAAATGCCTGTTTATACCCAGAACTGTGTTAGGTACAATAGAGAGTTATTGAAGCAAACATGGTCTCTGCCTTCTAGATGCTGACACCTAATATAAATAAAAACAATAAATCTGTCCAGAGGATTACCAAACTAACTGAACAAACATGAAATAGTCAAAAGCACCAACTTTATATAAATGCAGTAGAGTAAGTGCTGAAGGGCAAGTCATGGGAGATGACTCTCTAAGCAGGGTGGGGCCCTAATGGAACAGTTACCTTGTGAAGGCTGAGTCCCCAAGGGGAGAGGTCAGCCCTTTAAAAAAGCTGCAAGGGCTGGCTCCCGGGCTGCGGGAAACGAGCCAATCAGAGGACAGGGTGAAGCTTGAGGGCGGATTTAGAGACTGAAATACATGTACAGGGAGAAAGAAAACTTGACCAGGGTCCAAGAAAAGTAGGGGAAATTAGTCCAGCAGGTGTATTTTTCTCAACTGCTTTTACTCAGGCCCTCTTCTGATAAACATAAAAAACTCATACTCCCTTTTAATGTTACTTAAAATTTGAAAGGAAACTAAATATCCTAACGAACACCAAACCAGTGGTTTCACAATCTGATTTTCCAAATGACAAAAACCACTCCCTTCCCCTACAGCTGAGAATCATCCAGTTGGATAGTAGCACCTGTCAACGAGGACAGAGCAACTGTCACTGAATTCTTAACAATCCACATGGGACCAGACAACCAGTAGTGTTAAAAAGACCTGCAGCCTACAGTGACACAAACAGATCATGGCACTAGGAAGAATATGTAATAATTACCTGATTAAAATTTTTAAAGGAAAACTCTTTGTAGATGGCATCTCTCTCATTTAATTCTGACCATCCTGCTGCTTTCAGGTCACGGATAACTTGGTTCCTCTCTTCTGTTGTCAAACCACGAGCATCTGCTGCCTATGAAAAGAACACATTTCATATCTGATATGTAGAAGTTCGGTTAAACCCAAACACATAATCCTTTACCTTACAGACAGATGCAAAAAATATCTTAAGGGCAACAATTTGTCACTATTTTTGGTTCCTTGGTTCTCAAAAAACATACAAAAACAAGGCTAGCTCTGTACAAAATAAGCTGCCTCCATGGAATGTTGTCTCATGCACCTTACTGTTACCTCAAACTTCACATTTCTGTGCCTCTGGTTTATTACAAGTACAACCATTAACCATGACCACTGGTCATCTTACCAATGGCCAGCATTCCGGGATGTGGGAAACTTGGTAAGCACACCCATGCAAGGAAACCCTGCAAGTCCACTGTCATGAGAATTAGAATTCAGGGCTCTATATTCATGGTCCACTGCTCTTTGTGGAGGCTCCCACACATCTTGGTAGACTTCACTGCTTATTCATATGGGTCTCAACTCTCTGGGCATACTATCCCCTTTCAGGTCTGATGAAAACTAAGCTCCAGAGAGGGGGGAGAAAAACAAATGTCCACTTAACTCAGGATTTGGGATAATAACTTCTAGGAGTCCACAGATCCTCTGGACCACAAGCAAAAAGCCCTTGCCTTAGTAAAGTGAGGTTTTTTCCAGGACACCAGGAAGACAAATCCCTCCAGTTTGGCCAGAGCACTGTCCACCCTGTTTCTACACTCACCCTGGTGATGAAATTCACAAACCCAGAGTTCTGTTGGTTAACAGGCCCACACTTCCAAGCTATTTGTTTTTTAAGGAAAGAAATCTAAACATCACGGCTAGAGAAAGAAGAGAAGGATACTGTAGGAGAAGTCAAAAGAGCTGAGCTCTCCAGCATAAATGCCAACCAATACTTCCAACCACATCTATTTTCGGAGCTAGTGAAGGCTCAGGTGAGAGAGGGACTGTCACCCAGAAACACAAAACGTATTATAAGGCGTCCTCACGAAATGCCAACTGGAGGCTGAGCTGGATCCTCCACTGTGAAAGTACAACTCGTTCCCATTTTAGAAATCCTGAAACCTTTTATCACTGACATTAATGTAATTAAGAGGGCAGAATCAGTGAAATTAAGACAACTTATTTTGGGCACCTGGGTGGCTCAGTGGTTGAGCCTACCTTTGGCTCAGGGTGTGATCCCGGGGCCCCGGGATCGAGTCCCACAGCGGGCTCCCCATAGGGAGCCTGCTTCTCCCTCTGCCTATATCTCTGCCTCTCTCTGTGTGTGTCTCTCATGAATAAATAAATAAAACCTTAAAAAAAAAGACAATTTATTCTAATAAAAGGAAAAAAAGGATGCTCATGAACCAATTTTGTTTCTGTTCCTTGCCAGGTAGCCACCCTTCCCACAACATAAGAAAAAAAATAAAAGAAAAAAGAAAGAAAAGAAAAGAAAAGAAAAGAAAAGAAAAGAAAAGAAAAGAAAAGAAAAGAAAAGAAAAGAAAAGAAAAAAAGTCTCTAATAGAAACATTTGAAGACTTCTTATCAAAACCAATTACTATTGGGGCACCTGGGTGGCTCAGTGGGCTAAGCATCTGCCCTCAGCTTAGGTCATGATCCCAGAGGCCTGGGATCAAACCCCGCATCAGGTTCTCTGCTTCTCCCTTTCCCTCTGCCCCTCACCCCATGCATGGTCTCTCTTTCTAACAAATTTTTTTAAAAAGCCAAACAATTACTATTTGTTTTTGCCTTCAGCCCAGGGCATGATCCTGGTTCTGGGATCAGGTCCCACATCAGGCTCCCTACGAGGAGCCTGCTTTCTCCCTCTGCCTGTGTCTCTGCCTCTCTCTGTATCTCTCATGAATAAATAAATAAAATCTTTAAAAAAAAAAAATCCAAAACACCTATTCGTTAGTTTTATAGTGACCCACTATAGGAAATAATCTAAAATTCTTATTAGTCACTTAAATATGTTAATTCAACCCCAAAAATTATGTAAAAGAATTTAAATTATCTGTGTCCACGCTGAGTAGCTGCCAAGAAAACCATTAACCATGCTGTGGGTAATGCAGCAGTCACCTGGAGTGAGCAAAACACGCCCGCTGAGCTGATCTCCACATTCTCCACCACACACATCCCCAATGAGGGCAATGGTATGTGCTCGGTACTTACCACAGGCGTCTGCCCAAGAACAGGGACTGAGTCCAGGACTGTGAAATGGAGCCACTTCACCTACCTAGCACAAATGGTCCCCTTGCAGACACACCTTCTGCAGAACCCTTTACGATGGGCTTAATTTTTTTTCTGCGGGAGATGGGGACAGGGATAGGGAAGAGCATAGGGTCTGGAGAGAATGAACTTGATTCAAGGCCTAGCTTTGTCACTTTCAGGTGCGGTGACACTGAACAAATCACTTAGCTTCTCTCAATACCAGTATCCTCATGTCTCTGTCTATGTCTATGGTGGGGGTATCACCACATCTACCTGTCAAACTTTTCTGAAAGGGTTAAAGAGATCTTGAATGTAGACACCTAGCATAGAGCCACCATGGCATGGTGGCAGCCACTCAAATCATGTCGTTTATTCATTCCTCTGAACCCTGTAATTTTACTGGATTATCAGCACCTTGGGTAGAGGTATGCCTTGGGACACGTTTAGGTGTCAGCAAGCGCTCAACTCGTGCTCTCTCACCTTACTGGCCACGAAACAGAGTCCATCATCATCATTAAAATCTTTTTTTTTTTTTTTTTTAGATTTTATTTATTTATTCATGAGAGAGCCAGAGAGAGGCAGAGGGAGAAGCAGGCTCCCTGGGGAAACCTGCCGCGGGACTCTATCCCAGGACCCCGGGATCACGACCCGGGCCAAAGGCAGGCGCTGAGCCGCCCAGGTGCCCCCGTCATCAAGTTACCTTAAATGAATCCCTGTTAAACAACTTTCCAACCGCCCAGGGGGCTCCAGCAAGCGACTGAGGATGAAATGGGAAGTCTAATGCAACATTTCCCCACTAGGTGGTGCTGCGTGTCCAAACTTTCCCTCAGGTTCATTTATCTCAAGACGTTAATTTCCAAGGCCGGTAAAGTGACGCGACGCTCTGCGGAAGAGGAAAGAATAGATCTGTCCCCCCTAAAATAGGTAAGTGTCACCGATAACTCCTCCTAAAGCAGCACCCGCACACCGCGCTGACCCCGCGCCGAGCCGGTCCCCGCTCTCAGCCCGCGCACCAGCGAGCACAGCGCCCGGGCTCGCTAAAGACAGCTTTACAGCTACTGTTCGTGCTCTTCTTTTTCTTTTCTTTCTTTTTTCTTTTCTTTTCTTTTCTTTTCTTTTCTTTTCTTTTCTTTTCTTTTTCTTTTCTTTCTTTTCTTTTTCTTTTTCTCTCTTTCTCTCTCTCTCTCTCTTTCTCTCTTTCTTTCTCTCTTTCTCTCTTTCTTTCTCTCTTTCTTTCTCTTTCCAAAATCGTCCTCGGTTTCGTTCTGGCCGGCAGCTTCGTAGACCGCGACGGGACACGTAAGCCCGGAGGTCCGGCAGGTGCCCCGCGCCCACACGCGGCTCCCCGCGGTCCGAGGCCGGAGGCCCGCCCGGGCCCGCCCGCCCCCTCCCCCCCGCCCCCGCCCCCGCCCCCGCCCCCGCCGCGGGGCCTCGCTCTCCTCCCGCCGCGCTCTCCTTCCCGCCGGCACTCACCGTGGCCGACAAGCTCGCGCCCCGGCCCCGCAGGGTCGCCACCACGAGCCGCGACGTCCCCCGCGCCGCCGCCATGGCCGCCGGCCGAGGGCTGCCCGGCGCGCTGCCTGCCTGCCGCCCGCAGGCGCCCACCGGGCGGGCCGGGAGCCGCGGGGCCGTGCGAACGGCCTCCAGCCGCCGGCCGCGCCGTCCTGCGGGCGCCCGCGCGGCCCGCCCCGGAGGGGCCCCAGGCTCAGGGCCGCCGACCGCGCGGGCGGCAGGCGGGCGGCAGGCGGGCGGCAGGCAGGCGGGCGGCAGGCGGGCGGCCCCCGCAGGCCCCGCAGGCCCCCTCCAGCCCCGGCCGGGAGCGGGGCGGGCGGGCTGGCGCCGCTGGCTGCGGGGGCGCCGGGGCGTGACCCACGCTCGCGGACGGTGGAAGGGCTCTGCGGGCCGGGGCGCGAGGCGGTGGGCGCCGGGCGGTGGGCGGTGGGCGGCGGGCGGCGGGCGTGGGCCGGCCCGTGTCCCCGCCCGCGGAGGGCCAGAGCCACCGTGGATCGGCCCGGGGCGCGGCTGCGAGCTCCGCCGTGCCCGCCGGGGAGTCGGGAAACCTGCCCTTCGTGCTCCCCGGAGAGAAGCGCCGGGGCGCGCTCCGCAGAGGAACGTACGCAGGTTATTTACGGTAGTGTGTGTGTTTCTGGAAAGGGGGGGGGTCTTTTATGTATTCACTGATTTTATTCTTCTTTTTTTCTTGCCTTTTCTTGCGATGGGACGCCACATGCCATAAAATTCGCCCTTTGGAGTGTACAGTTTACGGTCTTTTAGTATATTCACTTGGATCTTTTACTAGTTTAAGCAAATTAATAATACAGCCAATTTTTTTAGAAAGATTATTTATTTATTCATGAGAGACACAGAGAGAAGCAGAGACCTAGGCCGAGGGAGAAGCAGGCTCCTGCAGGAAGCCCAATGTGGATGTGGCATTCAATGCCAGGGCCCTGGGATCATGCGCTGAGCCACCCAGGGTTCTATAATATGATCCATTTTGCCTAAGATTTAGCCACATACTAGAGAATTTTTTCTATGCGTGCCCATTTAAGTTCAACCTAGCAGGTGCTAGCAGTTAATTTTTTTTCACATATCGACTGGGGAATAAGCGTTTTTGCCTTAAAATATCCTAAAATTCAGACTTATGGCTCAATCCATGTTCTTACCTTTGCCCACTTCACAAAAACTTAATGGAGGAATCTCTCTGCAGACCCTGATCAGATGTCACTGATCTCAAAGCATTCATCTAAGACATTCTAGTTTCCTTTGGTGCCTCAAGTGGGCAGAGACTGGAGACAAGATTAAAAGTTTCATTTCCAGTACTTAATTGGGTGTATACAGTTATGAAGAATACTCTGCAAACTTGCTTATTGAAGTGAGAACTGCAAAATGAACTGGTGGGTGTAAGGTAGCAAGAGATTCCTGATCGGGAGACCTGGGTGGCTCAACAGTTGGGTGCCTGCCTTTGGCTTGGGTCATGATCCCAGGGTCCTGGGATCGAATCCCACATAAGGCTCCCTGCGAGAAGCCGACTCCTCCCTCTGCCTGTGTCTCTGCCTCTCTGTGTCTCTCGTGAATAAATAAATCTTTGGAAAAAACAAAACTCCTGATTGTTTTCTTTCCCTATATCCACTGTAGGAAACTGGCATCTCAGCTCTAGTTATGAAAAGCAGCAGCAGTAGCACACTAGTAGGGCCCCCCGGGGAAGTGAGGAGCACCAGTAGGGGCTGTGAATACTCTGGCTTCACACCAAAGTCTCTAATTAGTAGAATTTAAGTTCCTTAAGTAAAGATTTACTGAGCAACTTCTTTATAGTGGATACTCTTAGGAAAGGCGGTCTCCTGCTCACAGGAGATCTTTTAAGCCCTGTTCACCCATGTAAGAATGGGCCTTGGGCCTAGAACACTTCCTTACCGATTGTGATCAAGAGCCCATGCAGCCTGTTCGAGGCTTAGCACCTTGTGTGGGAATATCCTTCCCTGATCCAGACTCAGTATATACTCCTTTATTCGTCTTAAGCATGTAAGTCAGATCGTCCTGGGGCACGCAAGTATTTCAGTATTAGAGACTCTGCTGGGTGGGGGTAAACTTGTGCTAAGGCACTAGGGGCCCTCTGGCCTTTGGCTGCTGGGGAGGATCCACTGGCCATGAGGGACCAACGCACACTCCCGGAACTGATCTTGCTTTGTCTCTTCTAGAGGTATACACACACACACACACACACACATATACATTAAAGGTTCAAATCCCAGCTTCATCTATTTACTGTGTGTGACCTGGGCAAGTTACTTAACCTCTCTCCATGCCTCCATTTGCTCATTTGTAAAGGGAAAATAATAATAGTACCGTTCTGAACCACTGTCCCTTCCCGCCAGTAACCACCCCAGCCATAGCTGTCCACAACATAAGCCGTAAACTCCTGCCCAACATAACATTCTGAGAAGGTGACTCGACTAAAGTTCTATTTCCATAGAATTTAAGTGCATTATGAAGTGAACTACTCTATCTGGAACACTGGAAACAATCTAAAAGTTACTTAGCAGGGGCCTGGGTGGCTCGGTCAGCTAAATGTCTGCTTCTGGCTCAGGTCATGATCCCAGTCTCCTGGGATCAAGCTCCACATCCAGCTCCTTGCTCTGCCAGCCCCTGCTCCCCCTACTTGGTGTTCTCTCGCTCTGTCAAATAAAATCTTTTTTAAAAAAAGTTTTTCTGTGGTCACATGTCGTATCTGAGTTTAAAGGATCTTAGAAACAGCTTTTCAAAAAGCTGGTATAAATTTCATGTTGTCCCTTTTCTACATGTGTCCTAAATTAGACTAGAATCAACTGTGGGCAAGAACACAGTGTTACATACTTCTTTTGGCTCTCACTGAAACTCACACAGTGCTAAGAACCTCTTAAGGCTGAATCAGTGCATGCTGGGTAGGTAACTGTGACTAAAATTTGAGTGATGCTTTTGCCTAGATCTGGCAATAAATAAGCTTTAGTTTGATGATAATATTTACTTTCTCCTAACATCTGTCCTATCCAGAAACAACTTAAACCACTTCAAATTCTTTCAATTAAATTAAACGTTACAAACACCAAAGTACTTGACTCTTTTATTTTCCCATCAGTTACTCAAGAAGGTCACACTTACCAATTCTAGTTATTCTTCTGCAACAGAACACTCTCCTGCACGGAGAGAAAAACTGCAAATGAACAGAAACCAATCTTCTTACACATATATAAGGAATCAAGAGTTTCCTAAAACTATAATGTGAAACTCCTATTTCTTCCTTCTATGAAGCAAACTGTCACTATCCACTATTCCACCTGAACACAGCTCCACATTTGAAACTGGATTACTCCCTTAAAACATTGGATTAGTCAAAACAAGAATGGTGAGCGCCACTGAATATTTTTGCATTTGCTTATTGCAGTACTAATTAAAACACCAATTTATAATTTTTAACACATTTAACAGTTCAACAAATGCATGATTCTTTTAATCTAACTGAAGTTGTAAGTCTACACTTCACTGGAGAAGATGTAAGAAAAGGCAGCACTGATTTCTGAAATTCCTCGTTCCGACTTCTTTCAGCCCATCACTATTCCACGTGTTCCTGCTCTTGTCCTGGAATTAGCCACCGAATGTTCTCAGTTCGAATGGTAGCATACATAATAAAGCTAATTAAAAAGAACAGGGAAAATACAAGCAGCCAGTCCACACTTTTGATCAGAGTGCTGGGAAGAGGGCCTATTTCATCAGCTTGCGTTACCACCACATTTTTCTTGGCTTCTATGCCTGAAAAAGAAATCAGCTGTTTCAAATCAGACAGAAAACATACCCGCTAAAGATCTTTCTCAAGCATTTTGTGTGGTATGCAAAAAGATATGTAGTCTTAAAATAAATACACTGGTGTATCTGGGACGGGTTTCACTTGTCTGTTGGTATAATCTATGTTTGCCTCTCCCCCACCACATCAAAGGAGCAGGAACCCATTCAGCTGTTCAAAGCCTAAATGCTAAAATTTTTATGAACTCCTCAGAAGGGTCTTAGTGCAGGGTAAGAGTTGTCTTTTGTTCTCTGTGACACCAAAATTCAACAAGTAACTGCTAAAGCTAGTCTCAGGAATCTACAGAATGTTTTCACAGGTGAATGAATGCGAAATTCAAAATGCCTTTAAATCATTTACTGAAAACATTGTTAGAACTAACCACCACTAAGATACGCCATTACCAAAGATGCTATCACTCCTCGATTTCTTTTGGGTTCTAGGTTTTCCTAGAACGTTGAGCAAAATGGCACCTTCTTTCCATATCCGTCTGATTGATAAGCAGGGGTATGGAACTCCAAGACTTGGAATAGCTAACTACCCACCAACAACCCTTTCACTCATATGAGGTAACTCAGCTCTTTGTTCTTTACTGTGAGATATAAGTAGATTTCATATAAATGTAAGGTGTGTTTTAACTTATTTTTATTCCCAGTAAATATACTTCAGGAAAAAGTGGGGTGCTCATAATTAAGACAGTCAAGCTTTTGAAGAGCAAACTTCTGCAAAGAAAAAAATTTCTTCAATATTTAGTGTTCAAACTTCTACAGAATAAAAAAATTAGGCTACATGTTTTGGCAAATATTAAGGGACTAAAAAAGCATCTGCATATGGGTGAATAAATGGAACACACAGCAACAAAAAAGAAGAAAATACAACTGTACCCACCAACGCAGATGAATCTCACAAAAACACAATGGTGACTGAAATAAGCCAGCACAAAGGAATCCATTCTGGATGTCTCCATTAATATAAAGTTCAAAAACAGATAACACTAGCCCATTGTGTTAGGAGTCAAGGTGGTAGTTATCTTTGCGGGCAAGAGTGCTGAGGGTGGACTGGTCACATTCTCTCTGGGTCTGAATCCTGGTTACTCAAGGTGTTCATATTGTGAAAATTTATCACCCAGCACACCAATAATTAATGCATACATTTGGGTAAATATTACACTTTAATGAAAAATGTATGTAAGAAATTACCTACAAGGGGCAGCCCCGGTGGCACAGCGGTTTGGCACCGCCTGCAGCCTGGGGTGTGATCCTGGAGACCCAGGATCGAGTCCCACATCAGGCTC